GCAAAATCGCATAAAAACGCATGTTGGCATGAGAATTTCTGTACGATTGAGCGTGTTTGAAATGAATTAGCTGTTCAGTGAGCAATTTTCCCGCCAAAAATTTGGTTGTCAATACATGACAGCTAAAAAATAAATTTGATTTCCAGTGCGACATACCGATTGGAAGCGCTGCCCTAAAATTCCACTTTGCCCCTTGCTTTGTTCCGAGTTATCAAAATTCTCAATTTTCTGCCTGCAGTTTCATGTGCATGAAACGTGGTCTACGTGACAACAAAATTTAATTTTTGCTATCGCATACGGAAAAGAAACACCTTCTGTAAATTTTAACTGTTGGTTACCAAAAGCGTCTTCCTCCTCAATTTTCGTTTCAGACATACGTACATTCGACGTAGGCGTGAGAATTAACTTTACGTATGTTTATGGGGTCACATGTGAACTGAATTTATACCATAGAATTTGATTTTTCTACCTCTTTGCTTGCTGAACTGAAAGTGGGTGACAAAATCTGAACACATAAAATACTGCTAGTATGCGTTTCATATGTGATAACACTCTATATGCCCGTGAAACACTCTAAACGCTTCTTTTTGTAAACGATATTAAGTATGTTGCAGAAAACCTATAACTGTCAAAAAATATTAGATAAGTTCTAGACCAAAGTGAAGGAACTTGGGTGCCCCAAATCAACTTGGGAAAACAAACTGTATGAGCGACACGAAATGTTTTCAGTTCGACGTAAGACTACATAATCAGTTCTTGTTTGTGAACAGTTAGAAAAAAACAGTACAGGCAAATAACGATTTATAGATGAATACAGATGAATAACGATCTGAGCATGGGTCCAAACAAACGAGTAGAAAACTTTTGCCATTTTAGAAGTCTTTTCTAAAAATAGCATTTTTTTCGGAAGTGGCATTTTTCAACTTTTTTACGCTTTTCAACCAGTTTTGTATGGAAGTGAAATATGGAATGTCATGCCTGTTAGAGGAAAGGTTAGTGGTGTGGTAGGTCTTAATAATTTGCAAGGTACTCCGATTTTTCTTTAGTGTAAGAGATGTTATCACGGGCAGCAGGAAAAAAGATATTAA